ATGGACCCCTAAACTCTTCCAAGGCAATTTCCAGTAAACCATAGACTAAAAACCACTTAATGATGTATGCGCACCTCGGGCGGGGCTCGAACCCGCGGCCACGGGCTTAAAAGGCACGCGCTCTGCCGGCTGAGCTACCGAGGCGAATGCAGCACTTCATCTAGTAAAAACGGACCCCTAAACTCTTCCAAGGCAATTTCCAGCAAACCATAGACTAAAAACCACTTATTGATGTATGCGCACCTCGGGCGGGGCTCGAACCCGCGGCCACGGGCTTAAAAGGCACGCGCTCTGCCGACTGAGCTACCGAGGCGAATGCAGCACTTGATCTAGTAAAAATGGACCCCTAAACTCTTCCAAGGCAATTTCCAGTAAACCATAGACTAAAAAGCACTTTATGATGCATGTGCACCTCGAGCGGAGCTCGAACCCGCGGCCACGGGCCTAAAAGGCACGCGCTCTGCCGGCTGAGCTACCAAGGCGACTGCAACTCTCAAACTAGTAAAAGTAGACCGTTACACTCTTCCAAGACAATTCCCAGTGAACCATAGACTGAAAACCGCTTGATGATATATGCGCACCTCGGGCGGGGCTCGAACTCGCGGCCACGGGCTTAAAAGGCACGCGCTCTGCCGACTGAGCTACCGAGAAAACTGCAACTCTTAAACTAGTAAAAGATAGACCGTTACACTCTTCCAAGACAATTCCCAGTGAACCATAGACTGAAAACCGCTTGATGATATATGCGCACCTCGGGCGGGGCTCGAACCCGCGGCCACGGGCTTAAAAGGCACGCGCTCTGCCGACTGAGCTACCGAGGCGAATGCAGCACTTGATCTAGTAAAAATGGACCCCTAAACTCTTCCAAGGCAATTTCCAGTAAACCATAGACTAAAAAGCACTTTATGATGCATGCGCACCTCGAGCGGGACTCGAACCCGCGGCCACGGGCTTAAAAGGCACGCGCTCTGCCAGCTGAGCTACCAAGGCAACTACAACTCTCAAACTAGTAAAAGATAGACCGTTACACTCTTCCAAGACAATTCCCAGTGAACCATAGACTGAAAACCGCTTGATGATATATGCGCACCTCGGGCGGGGCTCGAACCCGCGGCCACGGGCTTAAAAAGCACGCGCTCTGCCGACTGAGCTACCGAGGCGAATGCAGCACTTAACCTAGTAAAAATGGACCCCTAAACTCTTCCAAGGCAATTTCCAGTAAACCATAGACTAAAAACCACTTATTGATGTATGCGCACCTCGGGCGGGGCTCGAACCCGCGGCCACGGGCTTAAAAGGCACGCGCTCTGCCGACTGAGCTACCGAGGCGAATGCAGCACTTGATCTAGTAAAAATGGACCCCTAAACTCTTCCAAGGCAATTTCCAGTAAACCATAGACTAAAAACCACTTTATTGATGTATGCGCACCTCGAGCGGGGCTCGAACCCGCGGCCACGGGCTCAAGAGGCACGCACTATGCCGACTGAGCTACCGAGGCGAATGCAGCACTTGACCTAGTAAAAATGGACCCCTAAACTCTTCCAAGGCAATTTCCAGTAAACCATAGACTAAAATCACTTATTGATGTATGCGCACCTCGGGCGGGGCTCGAACCCGCGGCCCTGACCTAGTAAAAATGGACCCCTAAACTCTTCCAAGGCAATTTCCAGCAAACCATAGACTAAAAACCACTTATTGATGTATGCGCACCTCGGGCGGGGCTCGAACCCGCGGCCACGGGCTCAAGAGGCACGCACTATGCCGACTGAGCTACCGAGGCGAATGCAGCACTTGACCTAGTAAAAATGGACCCCTAAACTCTTCCAAGGCAATTTCCAGTAAACCATAGACTAAAATCACTTATTGATGTATGCGCACCTCGGGCGGGGCTCGAACCCGCGGCCCTGACCTAGTAAAAATGGACCCCTAAACTCTTCCAAGGCAATTTCCAGTAAACCATAGACTAAAAACCATTTATTGATGTATGCGCACCTCGGGCGGGGCTCGAACCCGCGGCCACGGGCTTAAAAGGCACGGGCTTAAAAGGCACGCGCTCTGCCGACTGAGCTACCGAGGCGAATGCAGCACTCGACCTAGTAAAAATGGACCCCTAAACTCTTCCAAGGCAATTTCCAGTAAACCATAGACTAAAAACCACTTAATGATGTATGCGCACCTCGGGCGGGGCTCGAACCCGCGGCCACGGGCTTAAAAGGCACGCGCTCTGCCGGCTGAGCTACCGAGGCGAATGCAGCACTTCATCTAGTAAAAACGGACCCCTAAACTCTTCCAAGGCAATTTCCAGCAAACCATAGACTAAAAACCACTTATTGATGTATGCGCACCTCGGGCGGGGCTCGAACCCGCGGCCACGGGCTCAAGAGGCACGCACTATGCCGACTGAGCTACCGAGGCGAATGCAGCACTTGACCTAGTAAAAATGGACCCCTAAACTCTTCCAAGGCAATTTCCAGTAAACCATAGACTAAAATCACTTATTGATGTATGCGCACCTCGGGCGGGGCTCGAACCCGCGGCCCTGACCTAGTAAAAATGGACCCCTAAACTCTTCCAAGGCAATTTCCAGTAAACCATAGACTAAAAACCATTTATTGATGTATGCGCACCTCGGGCGGGGCTCGAACCCGCGGCCACGGGCTTAAAAGGCACGGGCTTAAAAGGCACGCGCTCTGCCGACTGAGCTACCGAGGCGAATGCAGCACTTGACCTAGTAAAAATGGACCCCTAAACTCTTCCAAGGCAATTTCCAGTAAACCATAGACTAAGAACCACTTATTGATGTATGCGCACCTCGGGCGGGTCTCGAACCCGCGGCCACGGGCTTAAAAGGCACGCGCTCTGCCGACTGAGCTACCGAGGCGAATGCAGCACTTGACCTAGTAAAAATGGACCCCTAAACTCTTCCAAGGCAATTTCCAGTAAACCATAGACTAAAAACCACTTATTGATGTATGCGCACCTCGGGCGGGGCTCGAACCCGCGGCCACGGGCTTAAAAGGCACGCGCTCTGCCGACTGAGCTACCGAGGCGAATGCAGCACTTGACCTAGTAAAAATGGACCCCTAAACTCTTCCAAGGCAATTTCCAGTAAACCATAGACTAAAAACCACTTATTGATGTATGCGCACCTCGGGCGGGGCTCGAACCCGCGGCCACGGGCTCAAGAGGCACGCACTATGCCGACTGAGCTACCGAGGCGAATGCAGCACTTGACCTAGTAAAAATGGACCCCTAAACTCTTCCAAGGCAATTTCCAGTAAACCATAGACTAAAATCACTTATTGATGTATGCGCACCTCGGGCGGGGCTCGAACCCGCGGCCCTGACCTAGGAAACCCATAGACGCTGAGGTTGGGAGAGGCATACATGAAACTGGTGCCCGCAAACTGAAGATTCACTGCGGGACCAGATTCACGTATGCAGACCCGGACATGGTTACACGAGAGGATGAAAGCTCAATCGCATTTCAACCCCGAAATGTAACCACTCCGGGTCCCCCAACGTCAAGGGAAGGGCGGGAAGGGGAGACGTTTAATCAACACACATAAGATGGTGAAACATCTCCCGATCACGCTGCGTTTAGCCTACTAGCCAACCGCAAATAGTGCTGAACGCACAATTAATTGGCGCACGCCATTGGCACACACTTGTTGGATTATGTCTTCCAAGAGAGTACCTCAGCTGAGTGTTTCCCCTTCAAGAAATCCTAGTGTATTTCTCTACGACGGAAACCCATAGACGCTGAGGTTGGGAGAGGCATACATGAAACTGGTGCCCGCAAACTGAAGATTCACTGCGGGACCAGATTCACGTATGCAGACCCGGACATGGTTACACGAGAGGATGAAAGCTCAATCGCATTTCAACCCCGAAATGTAACCACTCCGGGTCCCCCCAACTCGACAACCTAAACGTCAGACCACGGTGCTCAGGAAGCACTCAGGAAGACGAACAACCAGCCGCATTCCCATCAGGGAGACTCAAATGTATTGCACGTTGAACTGGTATTCCAGCCATAGCCAGGATCCAGTCAACATTAGAGGCAAGTTGTTACTCTCAACAATTATTCGCGCCTAGTGCGCCGTATTAGGGAACGTTATAGAAGTGCTGTATGATGGGGCACACTACTGGCTAGTAATGCTAGACGACCCAGGTCCTGGAGACCATACTCGCCGGACTAATCACTAGTCACCGGTGAATGGAAAATCTAACTATGAGTAAATAAACAATTGGCTGCCCTTGTGAATTTATCCAGCCAGAAGGCGCAAAACTATCCATGAATGGATTACTATGCTTGACAGGCTATGGGGAATACAAAAAACACCGGAAATCATCGGCTGGCCTCCTCTAGGAGGCTGGCAGGTTAAAGACCTGCTCCCCCAATCCAGCAGATGCAGTCCGGTACGTGCGCCATTAAGATGATAACATCAACACTGCACCCAATAACACCGTCGAAACACAGCTACCACATGACATCTCGTAAGTAATAATGACTTATCAAAATAATGCTCTTATCTACACGCTGACAGATCGTTACTGATAAGGACTGACGCGAGAGATGCAAACCGCGAGAACCTATCGCTGTGATCTCTTCCGTACGCAGACATAATACAACGGGAGGAAGACCAACGTCCATGATCTATCAAATCAGACAGCAAAACTCCAGCATGCAGCATCAAATTTGTTCCGGTCCGTCTCATAGAATGAGACGTTCCGCGACCCTCTCCGCCAGAAGCTCGGTGTATAAGGTCTCGCAAGTCCAAGTCGAGTTCTTTGTATGAAGTTCCGAACATAGAACCACCGTGATACTGAGTCGAGGAGCACCACTCCTGCAATCTATGGAGAGGACACACCACTTCTTTGCATGAGTCTAGGCTCGGGCTGCAGCAACCTATCACTGTTCTACGCCCACGACCCCGTTGATCGGTCTTTGATCGGACAATCGAGATGATGGCATGAGGCCGACAGACTGATGAGCCCTCAACCCATTCGATATTACACCGCTTCAACTCTACCAGCTCTCGTAAGCGCAGCAAACCACAGACTCCCACCAGGAACACTATTGGAGCTGCCAACCGCCCGGACAGCGGACGGGATGTCGCCACCACTCGAATTTCTTGCCTCGAAAGGGTGCGGGCCCTGATTGGATCCCTCCAACCTAGACAACGGCCTGCTCCTTGTAAAGCCAAACGTACTAATTCTTTATCTTGGACCGAAATATCCCCTGCATGCCTCCTATTAGAGCACTGGAGTTTCCCCACATAGTCTACTATTGTCTCTGCCTTGACTTTCCCTTCACGAGTCAGTGCTGAAATGTATACAACCAGGCTGTGACCCGTCAGAGGCCAGGCTGGTATACACATTCGAGTCATGAGATCCTCATAACGTCGTTCGATTGAACCGTACTTTCTACTAGTAGCCGGTGCGTGAGAGGCCGCCAATACTTTGTCTACCACTTCCATGCTAACTGTTGGTATTCCCTTTATCGTACTCCCGACTACGTGGATCGGTCTTGGTAACGAATGAGACTCGTTAGGCTGATGTGTTTTCCGAATTGAGTTCAACGGCGCCAAGGCCGACGACCTGTATGCCGTGGCCCGGTGTATATCACGCCGCACCTGAGGCAACTGAATATCGGGCCTCGAAAATCGAGATGACATCAGTAGTATCACCTCTTTTCTTGAAGCGGTCTGTTCTTCTCGAATCATTCCTTCTCCATACACACATGGACATTTCCTTGCTAGCATACGCGCCACCTTGTCCGCAATACAAGGATCCATGCCAGTTTGTAAAATTCTACTAAAAAGGAATATATATAGAATCATGTGCGTCTCTCCCCTTCATTGTGACCTGTGTAATATTATTCGACGAGTAATATTCGTACATATCTTTTGAATTGTATGCAATCAACTTTGAATTTCTTTCACTACACACGTCACATAGTGACGGTCACTACTCCTCTTTGGTTATTTTTTTTTTCATACAGACTTTACCCGAGTAACGCATCACGAGTCGAGGAAGGCTGTAGTCGTATGAACTTCATACAGACATCGGGTTATAACAACTATCACATGGCATGACATACGAACCCCTAAACTAAAAAACAAACAAACGAAACACCCTAATTGTTAGAGGAGACCGAAAGAACTCTCGGCCTGGACGGTCCGAGCTAAAACCACCGCAAACTAGACTAACTACCAACGATGGTGCATCACAAGGCAGGCAGCTTAACTCAGTCCACAGCCAAACCTGGCAGTATCTTCCTCGCCGACCATAAAATAACTTGGCAGCTCCCCTATAGGCGCCTTCAATAGACGGTCGACAAGATTCGACACTGTTACACGCCTACCCAGTGCTTGTGCCACCCTTTCACGATGGCGAACTCCTCGCGACAAGCCATCACTGATCTCGTTACACACCCCCGGAACATGGAAAGCTCGAACTTGTCTGCCCACGCGTCTGCAGGCAATCAGCCTAGCCCATAACTCCGCTAATCGCGGCGCACTACTCGACCCCTTATTCACTACCTGCACTGCTGCCATGTTGTCGCTTAGCACCGTACACTCTCCTCGAACATCACTTTGATTATCCGCCACAATTAATAGACCTAGTACTATAGCCATCAATTCTAGGTGAGAAATATTCCCTGAACCCAACTCGTCCCCCACTAAGCGGCGGAATGAAGGGTCACTCAACTGCTTGGCGTCCACAGCAAACCACAAACGCTGGGTCTCACCGTTGATAGTCAGGCGTATCGTGCCACCTAAACCATTCAAACTAGCATCCGTTATTATTATCGATCTTGCTTCCATCGCTGACCTCCCTAAAATATCTGGCAATGCAAAGGCCCGTATATGTTCGTTCCTCAGCAAACGGAGCAGAAGACGAATCTGAGCGCAGACGTTTGGACTCACAAAGGCAGACCTCAGCGGCCGCTTCGCCTCACTAGCTCTCTTCCTTTTCACCATCTTAAGCCATGCATATATTGGCGCCAAATGACAACGATACTTCGTAACCGTTTGCGTAGCCCATGTTATCCGTCCTACGAAAGATTCGACCACACCTATCTCGACACCTCGCTTCTCTCTCGCCCGTGCTATAATATACTCACCCTGACTCTCTATTAATTGCATCTTTTCCTCAGGGATCCACACTCTGCCTTCGCTCAAATTCCAACTGAAACCCAAAGTTTTGGGAGTATTCGATACCCTGCCTTTCGCCAATTCCAACAATATTCCGATCAACCTAGATAGTACTACCAAACCAAGGAAATCTCTCACACACGTGGCCTCGGACGATTTCCAAGCGCCATCGTCCACGTACAAGACACAGAGCATACACAGGATAGCCCTCATGATACGATGACACAAACTGTAAGCCCTTATCCACAGATAAGGGCTTGATACTAAGCCAAAAGGTAATCGCACATGATAATAATAATCCCAACGGCCCTCAGCCGTCGGCTGACTATCCCCCCTCACACTTTGGTCACTCTCATTCCTATCCACTGCCACAAACAGAAAGGATTCGTCTTCTCGTGCCACTCTCAAATGTCTGAAAGCATCTTTGGCATCCATTTCTATGATTCTCACTGCATCTCCATACTCTTTGCAGCCACTTTGAATCAACTGTCCAATCGACCGCAGTCCTGGCAGTGCCACGGTCTCTAACAAATGACCACGCGAGGTGATCAAACTGTTTAACCCTGATCGTCGCATATCATTTATCAATCTGAAGGCTCTAGGATTACGATTTGGTTTCTCCACTAAAGCGATCTTGCTCACTATTGCCTCTCGAGGGAGTTCCTCCTCCTCTGTTAGCTTTACCATGTGGCCCCTCTCCACCGACCTATCCAGTTCCTGCCGCACCTCAACAGCAAATTCTTTCGCCGACTTGTAGTTTCGGAAGGAATCACGCTCAAATAATGATATCGGGTGGCCTGGAATATCGCTTGCTGCATAGGGTACCCATATTCCTGAAGGCTCCACCCTTTCTCTTACTCCTATATTCACTCCAAAATCTATCTGGTCAATGATGCCATCATCTTGGCATGTGTCGTCCAAGAAAGTTTTAGACAGGGCACGTAACAATAAGGGTCTGAGAGGCGAGCCTGATAACGCACTGCGCCCGTTGCAATTCAATAACGCGCACCATTCTCCTCTCAACTTCTCAGCTGCTACCTCAACTTCTTTTTCAACCGCTGACCAATCGAATCCACCCTGTTGCTCTCTCGGGAGCTGTATCCACCTAGCCACAAAACGGCCCGCCTCGCTCACTTCAATCTCGTCAATAGTTCTACCTAATGCCTCACGCAGATCACATTGAAGCTCGGTCGGGGGGCCTTCCGGGATACCCCAAGGACATAATCCTGGCCGAGCCGTGCCATCCGTCAACCCTATTGTATCATTCAAATTCCAGACTGCTCTAGTGCTCTCAGCCCACCTCTCCAACTTCCTCAGCTGAGCATCCAGCTTGACGCGCTCGTCGTTTCGGCGACGCTGCTGGTATCGCTGCTTCTCCCTACGACGACTTTTGGCCTCCTGAGAGCGTTTCACACGCCTCCTCTTCATCGGTTTGGCCGCTTCCGGTCTCGCAGGCATTAAAAAGAGGAAGGAAAATACGCTGTCTCGTTCGACAATGTCTGAGAGTGACTGTCTCGGGACCGCAACTCAACACACTCTGGAGAGAATTGGAGCTAACTAATAACGGAATAAGCACGTCACCTTAGCCTCTATTGGCCTCATCCTTCGTTGGTTTGCTGTCTGTAGACTTCGGATATGTATAAGGGCCACCTTTGCCTGCTCTGCTACCCTTTCCAGACCGATTTAAGACTTTGCCACCATTACCACCCTTGGAGGTTCTTGCTCCCTTGCCTTGACCAGAGCTATTGCCTGGTTTCAGAGGTTGGGAATTCGACTCACCTGTGTACTTGAGCTTTGCCTCGCCGAAGGAGTCGGTGACTACCGCATCAGAGTACATATCATAAATTGAGGCACCCTTCTTGATCGCTAATCTACGGGGGACTGACTGTCTATGATAACGGTCATAGAACATTGCCCGACCCCAGCCTTGGGCGCCAAAGTTCAGAACCCTCATAACATAGGCAAATAACAAAAGATAATTGCCTTCTGGATAAGCCAACCAAACTGCAGTGGCCCATCGGAATAGACATCCCGCAATCTCAGAGCTCGGCACAAACAGATCTTCTGCCCTTTTTCGGGGCTTCAGTACTTGTATTACTTCTCCATGAATGCTCGTCATCACTTCAGTGCCCTCGGACTTCTCCACGAAGGAGTTCCTGAACTCTGCCAGCTCAACAAACTTCCCATCTTTCACCGCTGCTACGGACTTAGCCGTTGGTATAAGTATTTGTGGTATCTCGAGTCCAGTTCGTTCGGTGGCTTTCTGGACCAAACTGGGGAGGTCAACTTCAGGAGTCTTCGTCAATGTTTTCCGTGCTCTCTCCGACGCACTGATGACATACCTATTACATTCTTCCGAGAATGCTGCTCCTGTGGACGTTAGCACCCGCCGCCATCGTGTAGTTCTTGCTGCTTTCGCTGCGGCCTCCTCATCAGGTGGTGGAATTTCGATGCACTCGACTTCTGCAGCCGCAGCTTCCCAGAAGGACTCCTGTAACTTTCCCACCACCTGTAAAGTCAAACCTCGACTCTGATTTAAGAGGAACTCTCTCTTGGCCACCGCCACCGGATTGGTGCCTGGTGCAACATCCGCCACAATTTCTTGGAGGACGACTTCCTGATCGGCCATGATTTCAGTGATCAATCAACTGACTGGAAGTTCAACTCCAAACGTAACGTTCGGAACGCTACTCGTTCAACTCAACATGACTGAGAACATTACCCAGTTTACAATTCACCTACATGACCTCCTATAACTGAAGAGTAGGTTAAGTTTTAAGGGCTTGAATCTACTACCCGTAGGTCTTGAAAAGACCAAGCAGATGCAAGTCTTCCCTTCCGCTTAGGTTCAGTTCTATGAACGGAACAGTATCACTTCGGACTCCGAAGTTCGAAGCTGGGCCGAAGACGACAGATCCCGCTGGATCACTACGAGTACCTGGGTGCATGGACCCATAGGATAGTGAAAACTTCACATAACCTTTTCTAGTTCCTTTTACAGTGAATCTCACCAGGAAAGAGGAACCACCAAACGGTCTCTCAGGACCAACTCTCAAAACCAACATTATGAATAATTGATAGATGGTTTTAAAGAAAACCATTCTCTTCAATACAAGCACCCTCCCCTGGATGGCGTGCCCAGACAACCTGGCGTGTGGGATGCCACTCCGCCCTCGAAGTGGACTTATCGTGCAACCTCCAAGAATTGCAACACTCTAAGGTGTGCTCCGCTTGATCGATTACACAGAGGTACCAGTTCATATACACTCAGGTATAGCTAACTGGAAAACTCGTGCCTGGTCTTAAAAAAGACCAGAGCACAAGGGTCTGACACTAGCCAAACCACCTCCTCCACACTTGTTGTCAGCTTGGAATAAACCAAGATCAATGCTGACCCTTACTGGCGACAGCGGGAATAAACCCTATTAATGTACCGGTTACG